ACTCTCCTTTAGCTTTTCTCACTGTCCCGCTTTCCCATCTCATGCATAGTGGTTGGGAAGGCCAAAAATACAGGTGATCTTGACCTTGGGCTCCAGCAGCCAGTCTGTACACTTAAGACGCCTGTGGAGAATGAAGGATGAGGAGAACTAGCCTTCAACTCCTCTTGTGCTTTTGTAAAATGCCAGGAAATGGCTCAATGTGGCAAGCACAATATCATGCTCTCGTTGCCAACAGGAAAAAGGATGCCAGAGAGCAGCCTGAAGGTTGATGACACCAGTGTCAGCAGTCAAGATGGTCTACAGGATGCCCTCTGGCATATCTTTCACAAATTAACACCAAGCAAGGGGAAATCCCAGAAGTGGACTCCTTTTTTCATCCGTTTACCACTTTTCACCCAAACAGAAAGCAATGGTCAAGACCAGTTTTTGGGATGTGTCAATGGTAGTGAGCGCAACTGTCCACCGATCTGAAATCCAAAGTTATCAATTTTTTTTGTTTGGGTTGCTCCCCTTTTTTAGAATCGCCTTGTAGAATGTTGAGTTGCTCGGCCAGCACAATAACATCACTGGACTCTCATGCAGTGATAATCCTCAGCCTTATCAGACTCACTCAGCAACCCCCTAGATCTTTCCCTTTGGTCTTTACTTTCCCACACCCCCAACCCCATGCATCCCATGGTGGCCTCCCAGGCGTTGCCCTCCAGAACATTACAATCCCTTCAAGCGGGAGATCACAATAGAGTATTGTATGTAATTAGAATTATACGCATGATTTATTGTGTTTGTCCCATAACACCAGAAGTTAGGAATAAAGGGAGCATCTGAGGTTTCAGAAACTCTTCATCAGGCAAAGCTGGTATAAAACATGGCGTGAAAGGTAGGCAGGCCAGTGTGTTGTAGTTCTTAGACTGTCAGACGAGGACTCAAAAGAGCTGGATTCAAATCCCTGCTCAGCCCACGAGAACTTACTGAAGAGCAGCCACCGGAGATCATTCCTTGAGCATCTTATATGCCTTGAACGTTCTATTAGGGTGGCCTTAAGTTGGAAATGACTTGATGGGACAAGATAGAGATAAAAGAAAGTAACAGAACTGAAATATCGGTGAGTGTCCTTTGTTTGAGGGATTGCCCGGTCCCGTGCAAACTTTCCCCGAGAGTCTCTCCTCTCCCCTCCCTCCCCGGACTGTGGCAAGCAGGAAAAATGGCTGTTTGGAGACCCATGTTCGTCTGCTACAGCGTGTTGACAACATTTAAGGGAGAGGGGACCAGCTGTGGCAAGCAGGAAAAATGGCTGGTTGGAGACCCATGTTCGTCTGCTTCAGCGTGTTGACAACATTAAAGGGAGAGGGGACCGGGAAAGAGTAAGAAAAGGGAAAGGCTCAATGCTGTGGCGTCTTAATAGGCTCATATAGTGTGAGCTTTCCTGGATCAAAATCCTCTTGGGCATGAGGAAGTGGATTCTGATTCATGCAACATGTTTGAGCTGCTACCGCATATTTTTTTTTGGTCCTTAGCTTTTCTCTCCCTCTCCTCCTCCTCCTCCTCCCCTCCTCTTTCCTTTTGTTCAGTGCCATCGGTTGCAACACAAGACAGTCTTTATCTTTTCAGTAGCTGAATGGAGAGGGAGCAAACCAGCCGGGAGTGGATGGCAGAGCCATAACTCCTCCGAGGGGTGCCCAGAAAAGTCCGGGTCCTCCTTCACGTGGCTGGTGGTCCCTATTTCATCCATGGTTCCCTCAGCAGAGCATTCCTCCATTCATCGAAGCGGGGTGTGTGTGTGTCTCCAAGACTGTGTGATGTGTGTGGCTCCCAGCCCGTGTATGCCTTGGAAGATCCAGAGGAGCGTTCCGGATTGGGCCCAGGGAGGCCTGCAGAGGGCTCTCACGGCAGCCTGTTTTCTGCCCCTGGGACAAAGTGGTTGTGCGCCCAACACAAAGATCCAGACTACCTTCACATGTTGGGGTGGGGGCTGGAAAGACTCACCATGCGAAGCAGCACGGAGGTGTTTCGGTCCCTCGTGGGATCTCCGGTTGAGAACTGCCGCTTTTTGCTGCAACAGAGAGACAAGAAAGTTGTCAAGAGGTTTCCTTTTCTGTAGTGCCTCTCAGAGCATTGATCCCGTATTACCTTTCCTGAGCGCCGTCAGCACTCCAGGAGTTCAAAGGGAAGTTCCTGCAGCCTTTTCTGACATGTCCTGCAAGTGGGGACTTATAAGGCTGCTTTACTGCATCTCTCTCTCTCTCTCTCACTATGCATGCATGCATGCATGTATGTATATACTGTATGTATGTACTGTATGTATGTATGTATGTATGTATGTATGTATGTGTGTGTGTGTGTGTGTGTGTGTATCTACCTCCCTACCTACCTACTTACCTATACTTGTTCTTTAGTAATTTACTCGTGTCCGACTCTTCGTGACCCCCATGGACCAGAGCACGCCAGGCCCTCCTATCTTCTACTGCCTCCCGGAGTTGTGTCAGATTCATGTTGGTCGCTTTGATGACCCTGTCCAGCCATCTCGTCCTCGGTCGTCCCCTTCTCCTCTTGCCTTCACACTTTCCCAACATCAGGGGCTTTTCCAGGGAGTCTTCTCTTCTCACGAGATGGCCAAAGGATTGGAGCCTCAGCTTCAGGATCTGTCCTTCCAGTGAGCACTCAGGGTTGATTTCCTTCAGAATGGATAGGTTTGTTCTCCTTGCAGTCCAGGGGACTCTCAAGAGCCTCCTCCAGCACCACAATTCAAAAGCATCCATTCTTTGGCAGTCACCCTTCCTTATGGTCCAGCTCTCACTTCCATACATCGCTACTGGAAAAACCATAGCTTTGACGATGCAGACCTTTGTCGGCAAGGTGATGTCACTGCTTGTTAAGATGCTGTCTGTCTAGGTTTGTCATTGCATACTCTGGATACTTACCCCTCCCAAAAAAAAGCCCCATAAGCAGCACGTTGTCCCAGGAGACCTCAATCCCACAAGCTGCTCTCTCTACCCACTGCAGACTGAGGGTCTCTCCCGTATTTTCCCAACCACGTATGCATTTGTGCATTTTTCCTTGGCGCAGGCAGTGGGGAACTTGCCTCACCCCCCCTTCCATATGTGCGATTTCATGGTTCTTGTTTCCTTTAGAAACGTCTTCCTCTCCACTCGTGTCAGACGCAAGGCCGTGCTGCTTCTGGAGTGAATGGATCAGCCGACGGTCGTCGCCCAGATGGATCGACCACCCTCCTGTACTTCAGGGAAGGCTCCTTTTCTGTCTCCTCTTTTCGGAAACGATGGCATACAAAGTCAGACCGTTGGCTAACTTCCGTTAGGCATTCTCAACCCCAAAAGCTCAGCAAGGCCCACCCAGATGAAGAATCCTGGAGAACCCGAAAGCTTGCCCGTTTATGAAGTTTGGACGGAGAGGTCAAGGTCTTGAGAGCTGGTGTGGCCGAGCAACCAGCTAGACTCAGGAGATCTGGGTTCGAATCTCCTCTTGGCCATGGAAACTGAGGGGAAGGTAGCCACGGGGAACCACTCCGTGAATATCTCTCCTGCTTTGGAGACCCCGCCTGGGTTGCCAGAACTCGGACGTGACTTGAAGGCACAGGACTGAACTGCTGGATCCGTGCTCAGTGGTTTAGAGGTTGGGGAATTCGGTTCCCCCACGGGGCCTCCTTGAGATCCACAGGCTTCTTTCCAGCTCTGCAGTTCTAAGATTACTGTTAAAACAACAATAAAGGTGTTGGCCATCCCTATTTCTGGCTTTCAAACTCAGCTAGTATATCCACGTTGCAGAGTGGTTGTCTATGTGTTTGTGCGTGTATGGGTGAGCGCACAGATTGTAGCAGACCAGGAAGGAATTTTTCCAAGCTGGGAGGGCACCCCAACAGAAAAAAAACATGTTCAGTGTATCCCATTCAGCGCACGCACATAGAGTTCTCCCTCTGCCACTCCTGCCCTCCCTTCTCCGGCATCGCCTGGCTCCCCTGCGCAGCCTGACCAGAGAGCCACATACCTTTTAAAGTGGAAGCAGAGAAGCAGCAGAAGGATCGTCAGGATGACAGGGGCCACGGACGCCAAACTCCCCAAGAGGAGGGCCGACGGGTTCTCCGGGGCTTCTGAGGCTACAGGCTCCGCTCTTCGGGGTGGTGGAGGAGCCATCCTCCGTCTGTGAGTGGCAGAAAAACGGAACGGAACGGGTTCAGAGAACATCATGGGAAACTACCTTTAGGTGCATAGGTATATATACACATCCAGGGCACTTCCTTGTGTACTTTGGTTGCCTGTCCCCCTGCCAAATATCACAAGCTGAGACACACGCTCTGGTGTGCCTTTGAGGAGGGCCCGTAAGCTCCGTAGGGGGGAGCACTTGCTTTCCAGTTTCCAGGTACAGTCCCCAGTTTCAAAAGTTTGGGGGAGACCTGGGAGGCTGGAGAGCTGCTGGAAACCAGGCAGGCCGGACACCTGCACACGTCTGCTCTCCTCAAGAGCTGGGTTTGCTGCTGCTGTTTTCAGATTTCCTTCCTTCCTCCTCCCTTCTTTTTCTTTCTTTCTTTCTTTCTTTCTTTCTTTCTTTCTTTCTTTCTTTCTTTCTTTCTTTCTTTCTTTCTTTCTTTCTTTCTTTCTTTCTTTCTTTCTCCCCCAAAAGAACCCAAGGCAGCTTACATCATTGAAACAGTATTTAAACGCTAAAAACAGTAAGTATGCAAATGTTTTTTAAAAGGATTAAGCAAGTACTGTAGTATATTAAAACAGTAATGGTAAGAGCAATGTTAAAACACATTTAAAAGCCACAGAGCACAACAATCCATTGAAAACTCCTCTCAGACCACCAGCAGTTAAAGGAAAGCCTGCCTGAAGAGGAAGTTTTTGGCTGGCCTGCGGAAGGTCAGCAAAGCTGGGGCCGGTCGTGATAACATTTTGGTTCTTTTGGATATCATTAGATGTTTTCAGACGCTCCCAGCTACAGCCAAAGGAACAAAAGGTCATTCATAAACAATCAGTTGAAAGCAAAAAGCTCGCAGGGATTATGGAGGCTGGAGACCATTCAGTTGTAGTGACCTGCAAAGTTTGTGCTATGTTTGTCTTTGTTCCTAAGTGTAACACGGCGTACACATGTATGACTCCCTGCTAGATTGGGGGACTCTAGAAAGTACAAATCATCATACTAGTCCTCAACGCTGAAGCCTTTTTCCTTGCAGCAGCGACTGCACAAAGCTATCTACATGCTCCCTTCCAGGGGTCGAGAACGACAGGCTCTGAGGCCACATCTCTCCCCTGACCCTCCCCATCCCTTTAAGGACAAAATGCTTCTTCTATGGTTCCTTCAAAAGCTTTACTAGAAGAGGAAGAGCTTCAACTTGAAATAGGCTGGCGTTTTTCCACCCTCTTTTTTTGTTTTTTGTTTTTGGCTGTTGGCCCCACCCGGACTCTGGAATGTGCCCCAACCTCAAACGCTGAAATGGAATCCGTGACTCAGGTTGAAAGGAACTTCCCCATCCTTGGGTCCTCCATAACATTGCTCCAGCATTGGATTTAAAAGTAGATTGGTTTTGTTTTGGGGGATAAAGCCATCCTCTGAAAACATGACTGTGCTGTGACATGAACATCAGCAACTGCAGCTTGAGGAAGTGATAAATAGGGTTTGTGCATGCATCTCTCTCTCTCTCTCTCTCTCTCTCTCTCTCTCTCTACCTACCTACCTACCTACCTACCTACCTACCTACCTACCTACCTACCTACCTACCTACCTACCTACCTACCTACCTACCTACCTACCTACCTACCTACCTACCTACCTACCTACCTACCTAAGGGTCTCTCTGGGCGGTGCACAATAACAACTTAAAGCAGGAAGGAAATGGCACAGAGGAAGACAAGCAGGAAGGGAAGAGTGCTAGCAGGTGGTGACAACGGAGTGATCAGTTAGATTTCTAGCTATCCATAATTTGGTGGCATGGACTTTTTCGCCCAAAAAGGTCTATGTTCAATCAAGAATCAAAGCTTGGACCATTGCTCCTAAAATTCCCCAGCAGTCTAAAAAAGTTTCTCCGTGCTTCAAGAATGTGGTGAAAATGCTGTTTGAAAAGATAGAGAGCTACCAGAAGTCGGCGTAGAGCCGGTATAAGAAACCTGTGGCTCTCTAGATGCTACTGGACTACAGCAATCATAATCCCTGGCTTTTACTATCATGTAAGGTCGCTGGAGCTGATGGGAACAGAGGTCCAACAGCATCTGGAGGGCAGCAGGCTTCCCACCTACCCCGGTGATACAGAACTGAACAGACTAATGGTCCAGCATGGTGGAAGGCAGGGGGCGGCTGACAGCCAAGGAGCGGCGTGGCGCAGTGGTTAAAGTGCAGCACTGCAGGGAAGACTCTGCTCACAACCTGAGTTCAATCCCAGCAGATTCAGATGCCAGCCCAAGGGTGGCTCAGCCCTCCTTCCTTCTGAAGTTGCTGAACTGAGCACTGCTAGGAAGTAATACACGTTCAGCCTGCGTAATTAAACTGTAAACCACCCAGAGAGTACTTTCAGCACTATGGGGTGGTATAAAAGCAGCAGGCTTGGCTTTGCATTGCTTTCCTTAAGCCAGTGTTTCCTAACCTTGGATCCCCAGATGTTCTTGAACAAAAACTCCCAGGAATCCTGGCCAGAAGAGCTACCAGTTAAGGCTTCTGGGAGTTTTAGTCCAAGAACGTTTGCGAACCCAAGGACAGGAAACCACCGGGCAATCTCCCATTAGCAGAGTCTTTCTGTGGATGCACGCTTGGCAGGTGGCAAAGGGGCACCACATCGTGAGATCCTCCGGTTCACGTTCTGTCCATAAGATTCTCGATCAGTGTGTCCTACGCTGGCTTTGGCAGATGGATGTTGGAGCCCATCTGGACACCTGGAGGGCTATAGGCTCTGCAGCCCAGTGCGAGAGCTTGCCAGTGGTAACCCCAATCCAGAAAAAAAAAATACGAAAGTAGCTGAAATCAAGCAGTGTTAATTACAGCCATGGCATCCTTCAGCTGCTGAAGCCATCAAGGGCAGCTCCGGATGGAATCCACTAAAGGAGTCAAGCAGCAACTGTGCTGTTGTGGGCTTGACACAACGGTGGTCTTTCACAACCAACAAAAGCACGCTCTTCTTAATGCCGTGTGCCATGCTGAGGACTTCCGCCCCACTCTTGTTTATCCAGCCATAGAAGTGGGGGGGGGCAAAGCTAAATATGGAGTGGGCTACCACAGCTTTGGAGTCATCCGAGGAGGCCTGCCAAGCCTCCTTGCTAGCAAAAACGCAGCACCAAGTGACCATTAAACTATTCTGTGCTCTTTAAATTATTTCGGTTTGCGCCATTGCGTTCTGCGGTTCATGCTGGAGCCCAAACACACTTCCTACCTTATGGTTTGTGATGGAAAGCCCTCAAGCAGCAGTATACGAAACACGCTCCTGCCTGCATCCCCCCCCCCAAAAAAAACATCCTTGCTAGCAAAAACGCAGCACCAAGTGACCATTAAACTATTCTGTGCTCTTTAAATTATTTCGGTTTGCGCCATTGCGTTCTGCGGTTCATGCTGGAGCCCAAACACACTTCCTACCTTATGGTTTGTGATGGAAAGCCCTCAAGCAGCAGTATACGAAACACGCTCCTGCCTGCATCCCCCCCCCCAAAAAAAACACCAGCTGTTCCAGAAGTTCCTTGGCCAACAAACATCCTCCATTCACTGACTCACTTCTGGTTACTTTTTTGGGAGCAGGCGTGCAAATATTTCATAGTATGCATGCAAAAAGCGAAACACGCTCCTGCCTGCATCCCCCCCCAAAAAAACGCCAGCTGTTCCAGAAGTTCCTTGGCCAACAAACATCCTCCATTCACTGACTCACTTCTGGTTACTTTTTTGGGAGCAGGCGTGCAAATATTTCATAGTATGCATGCAAAAAGTAATCTGTGTACTCAGCAAACCTGTTTCAGATGGCATAACTCATCCAGGTATGCGGACTCAGGATTTGCCCCGTGTCCCTCCCTTGTGTACCTTTGTGAGATACATGCCTTCCTTCCGCAAGCAGGCCAAGACCTTTCTCTTCTGGCAAGCTTTCCCTCGGGGATGGACGGACGGCTTGAGTGGGGTTTTTCAGCGGAGGGTTGTGCCTTACGGCTTCGAACATGTTTTTGGTGTTGCTTTTATTTACCGAGTTTTACTGTGGCGTTTGTTTGGCCCTTTTTAGTAGGTCTGTACCCGCTGTTGTTAGCTTTAAATACTGACTTTTAATAACATAAGCCACCTTAGGTCCTTTTTCAGGAGAAAAGCAGGGTAAAAATATTTTAAATAAATACATAAATACATTTGGGGGTTGATTTGGCTTGTCGGGGCACCATTCGCCCATTGGTGAGGCAGACCGGTCAAGGATGCAGTGATGTTGGGAGCTGTGTTCTAGGCTGGCAGGTGTCTGATTTTTTTTTTCTAGACACCCACCACCACCACGGCCAATGCGACGGGATGGTTTGTTTACTTTGGGAGATTTGGCCTTTAGGGCAGCAAGGCAAGAGTTGAGAGGCTGATAATGACATTAAGGGATCACACAAATGTTCTACTTGGACGAAATCTTTTCCCTACATCGCTGCCTGCCCAGTTCACGGGGCTGAAGAAAGAGGGAAGGAAATTAGAGGAGACACCATCAATTAATTTATCGTAGAATTTGGCAGAGAAACTAGGGATTCCTAATGCCTCCAAATCCTCTCTGTGGCTCAGCTCCAAACAAGCACCACATCTGTCTCTAATCTGCTGGATAGCTCAATGGCTTAGGTCTTTGGCTGTGGAGCCAGAAGTTGGGAGTTTGATTCCCCCCACGAAGACTCCTGGATAGGGACTGGACGTGAAGATTCATCGGGTCCCTTCCAGCTCTACAATTCTAAGATGATGGTGGTGATGATAAACAACATCATCGCTAGTAGCTCTCTTTCAGCTCCCTCCCTCAGAATGAGTTTGAGTCAGACTTTCTTGTTATAGATAACTGGTCATTAGACAAGATCGTTCCTCGATCAGATTGTCACACCAGGAGTCCTCCTTATCACCCATAATTTGCAATTTGCTTTGCTTCGAGATGTAAACACAGCCTTCGTTCGCAAGTCTGCTTCCTCACAGAAAAAAAAGTCTGTTGAAATCATGTCTCTGGAACACTA